AAACGTCATCAACAGAGACGTTTACCTTTAAAAGTCGCCACAATCCAATTTGTAGTCTTCTTAGTTCTTGCTGAATGTCTTTCAGCTAAAATTTGCTCCAGCTCCTGTTCTGATAAATTCGGGAAACGAGCCTGTTGTGTTTCGCTTTCGTATAGTGCTTGTTGGCTTGATTACTTGCGGGAAGGTCGAAAGCCAAAGAAAAGTTTGGTTGGCCTTCGATTTACTATCATCGCTTTCCGAAACTTTAACTTAGGAACTCACACGACGGAAATTTTGCAGCTATTTTGAAACTGCACACGTCATTTTATTGAGCACGGCCGTGCGTACATAAGGATTTTGTTCATGTTGACGCAATAGGAATTAGATAGGACCAGCGCGCGCGCTATGTTATAAAAGTCTTTGTCTTTGGTTGTTGTAGACAGTCGATCTGAGATAGTATGTACTGCCAAGAATGTCGGACTTCAGCGCATCATAAACTGAAATAACAATTAAGTAGATGGCCGAGTCTAGAACCTTTTTCACCAATGCAGAAAGGTTTATCAAAAATGGCGTGGTTTTAGGCCCAAGTTTCAGCTCAATTCTTATTATCTAAATATCTTCCGTACATCTAAAGTGATATTGCTTGAAAAACTGTGAACGTTGATTAAGTGATGCACAGTTTTGACATATTCGTCATGACCTTGATCAAGTCCTACGTTTGGATATTGTTGTTGATAACAGAACTACAGACTGTCAACTGAACGTGTTTTCGACAGTTCCACCTGATGAACTCTTGAGTATCATCGGCTCAACTACCCTTAAGTCTTGTGATTTAGATCCTGTTCCTGGCCATGCACTATATCTGTTTCCTTCTATTCTCCTAGTAATACATAAGATTGTGAACTTTTCATTGGAAACTGGTCGGATGCGTGAAATACTTAAACAAGCTATAATTAAGCCACTGCACAAAAAGCCTTCGTTGATTTGAACGACTTCAAGAACTACAGGCCGATTTCTAATCTTCGTTTCATATCCAAAACTATTGAAAAATGTGTTGCTAAACAGCTGATTCAATACTTAGATACTAACGAGCTTGGTGAACTATATCAATCAGCCTATAAAAGTAATCATAGTACAGAGACGGCTCTTATTAGAGTTTACAATGACATAGCTATGGCGATAGATCAACATAATTCAGTTATCCTAGTATTCCTCGATCTTTCGGCCGCATCTGATACTGTCGATCATGGTCTTCTCCTCTCGCGACTGTCCAATGGCTTTGGAATTACTGGAACTGTACTGAAATGGTTTCGATCGTATCTTTCCGATCGTACGCAAACTGTGCTGGTTAATGATGCATGCTCTGCTTCTCATGTTCTTGAGTCTAGTGTACTGCAGGGATCCGTTTTCGGCCCGTTGTTATATTCATTGTACACATCCCCTCTTGGCCAGAATGCTCGACAACATCAAATGTTCTATCACTTTAATGCCGATGACACTCAGCTATATATTACGTTCAGGACGTCGTCTGTTTCTGATATGAATCTGAGTAACACCAAATTGGTAAACTGTGTTCGGGACATGGATGCATGGATACTTTCCAACAAGCTGAAATTAAATAAAGATATATAAGTTTGAAGTTCTCGTAATATCCTCTTCCCATCGACCTCGGCCGCCACTGTGTTGTGATGACATATCAAATGAGACCATATCCTGCTCCCCCAGTCCACGAAATATTGGTGTTATCTTTGATCAGTCCCTTTGTATGGTACCTCATTTCAATGCAGTCTGTAAATCGTCCTTCTTCCATCTTCGTAACATTGGCTTCATACGCAGATATCTTACTTATGATGCAGCAAAGATCATTATTCATGCCTTTCTAGTTTCTACCATCTTATCTTATTCGAAAGCTTCAACATGTTCAAAATTCTGCCGCTCGCCTTGTCAACCAGTGTCCAAAGTTTTGCCATATTACTCCAGTCCTGGGAGATCTTCACTAGCTTCCTGTTTCCCTTCGCATTTAATTTAAAATTATGTTCATTACCTACAAAGTGCTACATGATCGCGCTCCAAGCTATATATAGGAAGTCCTTCAATTGTATACACCCAACCGCAATCTTAGATCCTCTGGTAAAATCTATCAGTTAGAACCCTTTTTTAATCTCAATTCATACGGTAAACGAGCTTTTTCTGTTGCTGCTCTGGAACTTTGGAATAACATACCTGAGGATTTTAAATCTGCAAACTCAATTGACGAGTTTACACGCAAGCTTTAAACATTTCTTTTTATTCGAGCTTATGAATCGTGATGTTTATCAATCGATAAATAGTTCCTATTTATCTTGTACATTTATCTATTGTGTAGTTAGCGCCTAGTTTTAAAGTCAATTTCTTGTGATTATTTTTACTTTCTAGCTTTATCAAATTTTTGTAAACACCGCCTTTGAATCTTGCAGAAAAGGCGCTATATAAATGGATTATTATTACTATTTTATATGTACATATTCAATTTGTGAATACGCGTAAATGTTATGTTAGACAAACAACTTGAGCCTTTA